TAATTCCCTGGAACCTGTAACTGATCCAGGATCCTTTATGGAAATCCCAACTGGACTTTCTCGTGCCAAATTCACCTTGACCATCACTGGCCTTTGCTGTGTTGTTTTTTTTTTTTTTAAATGCTGTTAATTGTCCCATCACATTGAAGAACGAATCGTAGCTGGGAGTTTGCGTTAGGATTTTCCTGCCTACGTCCGTCATCGTTTTTTCCTGTTGGATTCCTCTCCTTGCTTTTAGAAAAGCTGGAGGTATTTTGGTGCCCGTCCCCTCCACCGCACACACTGGCACGCACAGACGCACAGAGCTTTAAATGCAAAAAGCAAATTCCCTGATTCCGTGTGTGTGTGTTGGGGGGGAGGGGGAAGTGGGTACATCCTGGGAATTCATTTGGTAATTTCACATTTAAATTCCGATTTCTCTGGCTGTGCTTGTTCCAGTAACATTTCAGATCATGGTTTATATAGAACCGAGTCTCAGCAGAGATAACTTCATTTTTTTAAGAAGCAAAACTCATTGTGGAGGTGTCTGAGGAGCTGGAGCAGCTCTGCAGGCGCTGAGGTCGATCAGGGTTGGAGGGAGATGCATCTTTTGTGTTGTTTTGTGCACATTTGGTGTCAGGCTCCTTTTCCTTTCTTCCCTTTTTTGTTTTTTTTTCGTTCTTCTGTCTCCCTGCCCCTTTTCCTCTGGCTCAGTTTGGGTTGAAACCAAGCGCTAACGAGAGCACACAACCATTTATGCCTTTTCTCCTTTTCCTGGATCCTTTCCCCAGCGGCGTCATCCATGAAAACCCCAGTAAATCCAAGCTCTGCAGACAATCCTTGGATTTTTTGGGTTTGCAAAAAAAAAAAAAAACCCAAACAAACGGGGACAACTGCTGTTTGGGAAACTTGGTGACAGAACCTTTTCTATTTAAGCCAAGGACTTTCTGATTTCTGGGATCTCTGCTGTTGCGTTTCCCTTTTTTGCTTTCCCATTTTATGAACCAAAGGTGTGGAGCAAAGATTGTAGATTGAATATCATCATTTCACTTTTTAACTTAATATTTTTTTATTATTTTAAACTTTTTCATACTGAAGAGAATGTGGGGTCAAAATAATAATTAATAATAATGACTAGTGGGGAGTAATCACTGCCATTTCTACTTGGTCTACTTTTTTAAAATACCACTTCTTATACATTGGGATGGGGAACCACACTTTAAGGAAGAGATTCCTGTAACATAGAGAGATGGGGCATAGGATTTTGTAAAAAAATAGTGATAATGATGCCTCTGGAGTGTGGGTAGGGAAGGATGGTGTGTATATAGTTGTAAAATACTGTTCTAAATTATTTAGACTTATTTGTCATCATTCTTGGAAGTCCTCAGTTGTGTTGCTGGGTCTTTTATATGCACACGGTGTAATTTATTTCAAGGAACATACACTTTTCCAGGTGGTAGCTCAGCTGTGGACTTGTGACCTGTGTATATGTTTTAAGATCTTGGGATCTGGGGGGTTTTTTGGTTTGGTTTTGTTTGGATTTTTGTTTGTTTTGGTTGTTTGTTTTGGGCTTTTTTTTTAATTACATTTTAGAATTTGAATTGGCTGATATTCTGCTGTTGCTACGGGACCTAAACGTTACTGTCAGGCTGCTGTAAAGCACAGATCGCTCTATTTATTGTAGAAAGTGAGTTTATTTGCTTTCTAGAATTGTTTATATCAGATGGTATAAGAGAGGTAATAAGAAAATCTATGCTTGTAAAGAGAAGAAAGAAAAAAAAAAAGCTAATTTTACCTACTATAATCTGACTGTCTGAGACTATATTTTCTCTCTGAGAAATAAATGTTCTAATGTATAAAAAAAAAAAAAAAAAGAGAGTCCTTCCTTGCTAGTTTTATCCTGTCTCTTACTGGGATGGTGTTTATTGGTCCTGGTTGTCCAAGATGTGGGTCTGAAGTGGTTGGAAGGAGCAGTGACAAAGAGGGGACGAGGGGGGAGCTTCTTGTGCTGCTGAGCATCTCCCGAGGTGAGTTTGTTCCCTGGGTCCTTGGGTGCTGCAGGATGGGGTCCCACCTGGCTGGGGGTGGCCAAGAGCCCTGAAGGGATGGGAACTGGGGAATTCGGGGCTGGAATTCTCCCTAGTGATGGTGAAGGTGGGTCCAGCCCTGTGGGTGCCACACTCACAGAGGTGAGGTTTTTCAATCACTAACACTGACTATGCCCCCACAGCCAGAGGTACATCCAGGGGACAGCTCTCTCTCTCCACACTAATTATAATTGTCTGTGAGTTTAATTAGCACTTTCTATATAGACAGAGCATATCTATGCAATGTAAATACGCGGCAGGAGACGGGAGATTACACTGGGTGCCATGTCTGGGGCGAAGAGAGGGCAGGAGGGGTGCGGAGGCCACCTGGAGAGCGGGTGACAAAACCCACTGGTGCCACCGCACTGGGGCTGAATCCTCTCCTGCTCCAGCCTCCCAAAATTGTGACGCCAAAGAAGGGAACCCCCCCGCAAACACTTTCCAGAGCACACGATTCACTTGCTGGTTTAGGGGTGTGTTGTTTTTTTTTTCTTTTTCAATTTGTGCTGTTGAACTAAAGGGCCCCCAGGTCTGTCCCTCCGAGGAAACAATAGAAGACACACACAAAAATAAAATAGTCCAAATGCCTGAGAAAAAAAAACCACAACCAATCCAGGTTTGGAAAAAAGAGATTTCTTGAGACACTGTTTGGACTTTTATTGGCAACAAGGCTCTGCCTTTCACATGCGTGGTCCCAGCGCTGCATCCCACTGCCTTTTCCCACCAGGAATAGCAAGAGAAAGCAGAGGGACCAGGAACCTGCTGAGACACCCCCATCCCCCCACGGGAGTGCAGGGAGAAACTGGGAACCTGGATCCATTCACCCCCCCACCTCCTCCCACATCCAGCCCTTGGCATGAGGCAGATGGTGCCTGCCCGCGGGAAGCAAACGGCCACTTAAAACATTCACGGTTGGTTTGATTTAAAAGCAGAGGGTGATGCCGGCCCTGCGGGAGGAACCCTGGGAGGAGGCGTCCGCATGGCTGGGGGCAGCCAAGGCTGGATCCGGGGGGGTAGGGTCATTCCTCCCCAGAAAGTCCCACGGGTGGCGCTTGGAGGGACATGTGGTAGCATCAACAAGCCCGGATACCATGTTTCCTCGACACAGATCTCCCCAGCTTCCCCCGGGAGCTCCCATCTCCTTGAAGAACCCAAATCCTCCTTGTAGGGGAAGTCTTGAGAGCTGCTATTTCTGTCGCATCTCATCCTGGCAAATCCAACACTGCAAAAACTACCTTGGGACAGAAATACCTGCGGCTCCAAAATGTGTATGTCCCCTCACCCCTGGCCAGCTCCAGAGGGGTTCAAAGCCCTGCGAGGCCGTAGCCAGACCCCCTTCCCAGGCATGGAGAGGAAGGGGGAGAACAAGGGGTGCACGTTATAAATATAAAATCATTATCTGCTACAAACAGAAGACGTATATTGTACATCTTTGACCCATATACACAAGAACACAATATACACAGAATGCCTCGGAGGAGTGGGGGCTTCACAAGGGGCTTTGGGGAGATGCTGCCCCCCCTGCTGCCAGCCCCTCATGCCTCCCCCCCTGCGCCAGAGGGGGGGGCCGTACCAACAGCACATCACTCCCCAAAAGTCCCAGCAAGGTGGCACACATCATTCAATCCACATGTGGATGGAGTGGTGTGTGTCCCCCCACCGCCATCCCCAGGGGGGAGAGGCAAAGAGGATGGCGAGAAGGAGAGGGCAAGCGCTGGAGGGGGGGGGCTCTCTCATGAACCCACAAAGCGCTTGGGGGTCTCTGGACCCTGGGAGTGAAGAGAGGCCCTGAGAGAAACTTCTTGCCCTGCCACCCTCGTCAGGGGGGGAAGGATTTTCTGGCCAAGGGGGTCTCTGATAAGGCATTTTCCTCTGGGAATTGGAGTGAAGTGTGGTGGGAGGGTGAAGG